TCAATAATATATCACTTTGTAGTTTACTTGCTTTTCTCAGTTTGGTTTTCAAATTCTCAATTTCATTATGTAATTTTGCGATAATTTCCTCTTCTTCCATGATTATTTTGTTTTGTATTTTGTGTGATGATAATAATGGAATTTTGTTCTTGAAATCGTCTGCTTTGTAAATTGATGGAACAGCAGATTCTCTCAAACAGATTTTGAAATCATCTGTTTGAAAATGGGCCTGAAATATAATTCCATTTTAATCAGATTCTGTTATAATAAGTGAATTTTAATGAGTACCCCACTAAATTTCGCCCGTCTTCAAATTGATTTCGCACCCAGGCCATTTCATATCTTATTCCTTCCATAAGCGAATGGTTGATATTTGTTTCGGAAAATTGAATAAATGATATCCATTTCTTTCAGAATTGGCACAATTTATTACACAGCAAGTTATTTCCATAGCTGCTTTTTTCTCGAAAGTATAATTATGAAATTTTATTTCAATTCTGACGTTTATAAAATTTATTGTCAAATTCAAACAATTTTGAATGAAAAAGCGCGGGACGACTATGGTGCTCTTGTCACAATGCAAGGTGTGTAACTTGATAAATCTAAACATTCAAAAACCCTAACCATTGTCATTTCTGTGTCCGAACTCTTATCAAACTAATACCATCCAGTGACTCTAACGGAACCATTCCATCCGGAAGGGACCCAAACTTGTGTACGTAAATCACGCAAACGTAGATCCGTGAAAACGGATGCATGTGGAAGCAGCCTCAGTTTATAAGGACCAGATGAATAAATGTACGAATGTAGTTTTATCAGCATGCTCAATACATTTTCTTTTGATGTCATTCTAAAATCAAACAGTGAAATCATGATCATGTGAGGCTTGTTGCTTTTATTCATCATCATTTTTCAGTTACATACAGATGAAGAGAAAACATTTTTTCACTTCGAACAATAATAACAATATCAACATGTGTTGAGACTGAATGAATTCTTCAAATTCGCATGGCGAAAACCTATCGGAAAGAAGTCGAAACTTCCTTGGGAATCAATGGAACTAATGAAATAATATAGGGTGAGTAATATATATATTCAATATGAAGTACTCGCGTTTATTATTATCAATGATTCACCTTATGTAATGAATTGAGAGAATAATATGTATATAGATGGATTGAATTGGTAGTTAGGAGTTGAACGAATTTTTGTATTTTCATGTGAAAGGTTTTTTCTTTTGTTTTCTGTCAGTCAAGTCAATTATTATTTTTATTTAATTCCAGATCCAGACATGTTATTCCCTAATGAACTGAAACAGCATTCTTCTACTAAATTCTGATCGATAACTATTATATTGCAGAACATGTTCCTATACTATACAGGCGTATTGAGTGAGTTATTGAAGCCCTCGTTGAAGCCTGGGAGCAGAATATGGATAACAATATCTTAATATCAGTTATATTATATTAATTTGAAATTATATGATTTCATCATTAATGAATGTATATATCTCAATAATAAACTTCAAAACAGTCGATATTGAGAAATATTAGTTAATATTGAACTATTTTGTTTCTTTGTGTCGAAAATTATTTAGTAAGTATTGAACAATCAATTCATTCGAAATTTTCGAACATATCCTTTGTTTGTCGTAAAATTACATTAGTTTGGCCACTCGTTTGGCCATATTCCCCTGTTAACACACGTTATCCAAACGACATCCATTTTATATCCATTTGCCGTCCAAGACATCCATGTACGCCAAATGGAACTATCTTTTTTGATGTACATCGTTGTATATCCAGCTGATGATCTAGTATGTACTTCATCTGGAAGCCTATATCTATGTCCATGGACGCACATCGAATAGCCACTTGGATGTCCATACCGGATACTTGGCAGTACATATTGGACATCCATGAGTGTATTGTCGGGATGTCCATTGTAGCGAAAATTTTTGAGAAGAGTGAAATGAGAAGAAGAAGATCTGAATTCATCTGTCTAATATAGGTTATGTTTATTTCATTCATTCATTTTGGTGGACTTTCATGATAATTACTAGTATTTAATAGTTGAATTATGCCCCAGTTTTCTGCTTTATACGGCCTTCATACAAGTAAGTTCTTATTATTTCTGTGTCTATTCAGGTGTTCCTGATTGCGAATTGTTACGATAACATAACATATTTCTTGGATAGGTAGGTAAAACACCCTTCACCAGAATGAACAGAAGGAAACGGATTTGAAACAGGTTCTTCCGACGTATCTACTATAAAGTAGAAAAAAAATCATCGGATGTTGAACTCTTGAATGATACGACAACAGATGATGTGTGGCAAGAATCACTGACAATTTCGCAGTTTGAGGAATTTTCATCTTGGGGCCATTTATCTTGCTCATCGACCTAAACTGACGATACAAATTTTTGGAACACCTTTTTCACTACATGTGGCTCTTGCATGATGAGGCTCCACCACATTACACTCTGAATGTCCATTGCTGTTTCATTCAACAGTTTTCAGATAATAAGTAGATGAAACGGCAGAGGAAATATACTATAGTTTATGAAGAGCAGTATCTATAAATTTTTAGGTGTACTTCAGACCAGTAAATACTGAACAGGAATTATAGAGACAGATTCAGAATGCTTTGAATATTTTCAAAAACAATGCAGAAAGATGCAAAATATGCATTTCAGTTTTTGTGCTGCCAGTGCATTGGACCACTTCTTTTCCAATGTTTGAAATAAAAGCAAATAACATAACCTGTCTTTTGAATACGTATAGGTTGGTATATATGTCCAATATATGGACACCATATGGATGTCCATAATGGACACCAAATGGATGTCCATAATGGACACCAAATGGATGTCCATAATGGACACCAAATGGATGTCCATCATGGATAACGTATGTATGTCCTAAAATGTGGAAAGCTGATATCCTATGGACATCCATAGGATGTCCTGTGTACACAAAGTGGTTATCCTATGGATGTCCAGGGTGTCCGGGTGAGCATATCCATTGGATGTCCAATGGATGAAGGTGTGTTATTAGGGTCAGAAGCATAATTTGTTAACATAGAAGGAAATGCATCTATTGCTAACAAACTGTTCTCTCATTGTAGGCTGTATGGATTTTTGAATGAATTCCAAGGCTAAACAATTTTCATATCCTAGTATACAGTGTGATCAATAAGATGAAGTTTGCACGGGAATCTCGGACACGGTATTAGGAGATATACAGATTCGGTTGATATGATAACAGTTCCGAAATCAGAAAGTTATTCCAGTAATTTTCGAACATTCGAATTCCTATAGTTTTTCAGTTATATCAAGGGAAGGGAAAGGAAATTGTGAAAAATGAATGTTTTTCTACGTTATTATCGGAGATACTTACAAGTGGGTTGAGAATATTTTTCCATATCAAATTTTGATGATATTCATTTGTATCCGTATATAATACCACCATCAACTTGTTATTTTAAAACCCGCAACTTTTCCCCCATTCAGCCGAGATGGGATTTCTCCTTACATGCTCCTCACCCTCAACTTGGCCACTCAGTATGTACAATATATTCTTACCAAAATATGTAGAGAAAAAAAAATGACCCCGACGTGATTTGAACACGCAACCTTCTGATCTGGAGTCAGACGCGCTACCGTTGCGCCACGGAGTCGATGCATATAAGAAAGCCCATTCTACTTCTGCTATAGTGGTGGTCGTTCATATATCATTCAATGGAAAATAGTTATTTCCTATACGACCACCCATGGAAACAGCATAAAACACACCACTTTGTTATTTAGGAAGTAGCTCATGTCAACATTGTGATGCTTGAGTTCGAAAGTGATTCTCACGTGTGTTGGAATATTAAAAAAACAAACGCTCACCACACAAGGTTTAGGAAGGTGAATATATTATGTACTTTCTCGATAAATGAATCACTATAGGTATTTATTATAGGTACATTCAAATAAATTCATTTTCATTAGTTTATAATTATTATCATTTCGCATCTTGATCAGGTTCATGTTTCTTTGTAATTCATAATAAATTAATAAATTATATATCGCGAGACATAACCTCGTTGCTGTCTACAACAGCGCTTGGGTTATCTATCGGGTAAGCTTGTAACTGCTAATGTTGATGTTAAGTTATTGTTAAATTAATGTTGAGCTAATGGTACGTTAATGTTAAAGTAATGTAAGGGTAGAAGTTTAGTTATGGTCGAGTTAATGGAAAGTTAATCTCGATTTGACATGAGTTATTGCCCTAACAACACAGGGACATCCTAGGTACGTCCCTTTTATGTCCCAACGTGTACTGTCGGTACAAGGACATGATTGGGACATCCCTAGGATGTCCTGCTCAGTATTTCCAGGGGATGTCCCGACTGGGACATCCTTGAGTTGTCCCATTCATGTCCCAGATGTATATCTTGAAATCTATTTGCTATTTGTATCAGAATTGATATGTTACAACAAAATATTGAAAATGCATATTTGTGATCTCACTGGGAAAATCCAGTCTTTATATTTTCTACACCCATCCAATTCAGTACAGTACATTCAGCTCAATTTTGGTACTTTTGAAATTTATTGATTAGATATTTACTGATGAGAGGTGCGCAGTAGTGCGCACTCCGTGTATATAATTGTCTCCCTGCTATATGCGTCAAACGAGGACAGATACCCTAAACACAGGGATTTCCTTGGTACGTCCCTTTTTTGTCCCGCGGTACAAGGACATGATTGGGACATCCAGGGGATGTCCTGCAGTGGTTGTCCAGTGGACATCCCGCCCGATACATCCTTAGGTTATCCTATTCGTGTCCCTGGAGTATCTGATATCCATTTACATCAGAGTCATTGAATTTCATCAAACTATTGAGTTGAATTTTTTCGAAAATGTTTGTTTCTCTTCCGGAAAATGATTGTAATGAAAATAAAGAATAAATTCTCAGAACTTCTTAAGAAATTATCATTTGTGAAGAATAATAATTGAGGAGCGTGCATGCAAAACCGAACATGTCGATAAAAGTTCGAAATCAAAGTAACCATCAGATCTTCATCCTTAGGATCATTCACATCGATCGGTGCCGAGACATCCGCACAAAGTGAGACATATCCTATAAATTTTGTATGAGTAAAATAGGCAACCCGTGCAAAAACAAACATGTCTCAGTGACTGATTCATCCATAACCGAACATGTCAGTTTGCACCAATCAGGTTGTGTAGTTGGTAGTCACGTGACACTATGTTTACTAGTTATCATTCAGTACACCAGACATTGTTGGAATGTTGGATATAAAGTTGAAATATCAGTGTAAAAGAGCGTATTTTATTCATATAAAAGGTATAATAAACATAAAAATAATATGGATTGTGAAATATCAGTACGTGAAGGGTCCAGGGGACAGAGAAAGAAGAAATTGAATGAAAATAAGAGAGAACAGGCTGAAAAAAAGCGGTACAGTGCACCAGCTGGTTCGAAGGTGTTTATAGGATGTAATCACAACAATAAACGTTTTTTGTGCACAAAGATTCGTCCTTACGATGCAGTTTTCATACGCGAAAAAATATTTAAATGCCAGAATAAGGTGACACAAGACAGTAAAATCGCTGGATGGATACAAGTGATGGATATAAAAAAAAGCAGACCAAGAATCTCTACAGCTATACAAGGTAAGAAACCTAAGCCACATGCTTTCCACGTTGTATATTCCGTGCCTACAAAACATGGAAAAACAGTGAATGTTTGCAAGAAATTTTTCATGACCTTAACATGCATGAAAAATAGCAGAGTGAACAAACTGTGCAAGGTGGTCAAATCAGGTGAAGATATCAAAGAAAATAGAGGAGGCGATAGAATCAGCCACAAAACTACAGAAAAAAAAGCCATGGTTCGGGAGTTCCTTGGAAATCTAAAGGGAAGTGAGTCGCACTATAACCGAAAGAAATCGAAGCGAATTTACTTGAACTGTGATTTGTCGCAAAATAAATTAAGAAAGGCTTACAATAATTCGGTGACTGATCAATTTAAAGTGACGAGAACAATGTTTCAGCGAATTTTTTCACAATTCAATATTGGATTTAAGTCTCCTGCATCTGACGTGTGCACTTTTTGCAATAAAATAACGTTCCAGATAAAAACCGAAAAAAATTCTGATGAACGATCAAAATTAATGATGGAAAAAAGAGTGCATACATTGCGGGCGAAAACATTTTATGACTTGTTGAAACTCCCCGATGATGATGATACCCTAACGTTTTGCTTTGATCTCCAGCAGGTCCAGCCTTTACCAAAAACTGCTATCCAAGAGGCTTTTTATTCAAGACAGATAAGTTTTTACGCTTTTTGTGTAGTTGATCAGCAGTCAAAGCGGCCTGTCTTCTACACCTGGACAGAGGACCAAGCTGGAAGAGGTTCCGTTGAATTTTCATCAGCTCTTATAGACTTTTTCAAGACGTACATCATACCTCAAAATAAAAAAAATATACGCCTTTTTTGTGACGGATGTGGAGGCCAAAACAAGAACAATATTGTCGTGCATTCTTTAATTGACCTTCTATATAAACACTTACGTAGTTCCATTGAAAACATCACTCTGTTCTTTCCTGTTCGAGGCCAAAGTTTTTTACCTGCAGACAGAGTTTTTGGACGAACCGAACGTAAACTCAGAAAAAAAGTGTCTATCAACACAGTTGAAGAATATCGAGCAGTTTACGCCACTGTTGGGACCGTAAAACATTCAGGTCCAGACTGGATGATAAAGGATGTCAAATCTCTTTCACAGAATTTCAAAAATAATGTTGGGATTAAAGACTTGAAAAAAATCATTATCACTAAAATAAACAACCATGTAAAAGTCACGGGCCAGATGTACTACAGATTTGAAGAGGAAAAGACACCTACAACTCTTTTCAAAAAAGGGATCACTTCAACGTCAGCTCAGCGATTTCTAATGGAATCTTTACCTCTGGAGCATCCAATTCAAGAAGCTAAAAAAAAGATGTGGACGCACTTCTAAAGAACATTTTTGGAGATTCATGGAGAGACGTTGAAGAATTTCCAGAAAGAGTTTGGTACGCAAGTTTGATAGATGGACCTATCGCAGACCCTGCAGTTACTGATGAGGAAATGAACCAGTGTGACTGTTTGGAAGAAGATTGTGGATTACATATTTAATATTGTATATAATTTTCTCATCTATTTTGTGCAAATTTGAATTCGAAAAAATACTGATTCACACCCTGTACCCTGTACTGTTTTTTATTCCAATAATAATGTATAAGTCCATTTACTAGAACAAAAGCAAAGTCGAAGTTTTTCTTAGTGAGTGGAGCAAAAACGAACAAGTCTACCAAACGTCTGAGCATAAACGAACAAGTCCCTAGTAGTTTGAACGAAAACGAACATGTCTGCTTTAAAAGGTGAAATATTAAGAGATTGTAACGTTTCTGAGCAAGATTACGATAAACCAATATCATAAATCATATCAAGTGATACTTTCAATACCAATAATAGGCTGTAGCTATTGTATACTACTTCATAAACGTTTTTTGAGAATACTGGCAATCATGATCTGGTTGACATGTTAGGTTTTGCATGCACGCTCCTCAATTATTATTATTATAGTATTGTAGAAATGTATCATCAATATTATTATTATTTCGTTGTACGATTAATATAAACGAGGTGATGGAATGTTCAACTGATCAATAAGTTATATGTAGTATCCAGTAATTATGAATAAACGGATCAGAAAGACATGAGTGAATCATCACCATCGCAATGCGGATAGGTTGAAATAATGATAAGGAGATTCATTAGTGTCTGGACGATCGGACAGTGTACATCGGTGTTTAATTGTGTTACCCAATCCCAGTATATTACAGTGGCGACGAGTGAAAATAATTTGGAATAAGTTGATTAATCAGGGTGAGTAGAAGAAATATGCAAAAGACATCTGAACCTAGCTCGCCCAGTTCTAGTTTGTAGAGTGAAATATACGCTCAGTCCACAATATGAATCATAGAATGAAAAACCGTTGACATGGTGACGTGCAGCCATTATTGAATACGGGTCGATTCTGAATGCAGTCAATTTCATATTTTTCAATTCGTCACATTTGAATGAAATACTTTGGAAACTTGAACTGGGTATGATAGATTATCAGACAAGGGTCACAGACCTGGACCAGGATGTCCGAAGACCGATGTGTCATGAATAGGCCACAGGCCTGAGTGAAAACTCGAACAGACGAAATGTCTGAGGGTCACAGACCTGGACCAGGATGTCCGAAGACCGATGTGTCATGAATAGGCCACAGGCCTGAGTGAAAACTCGAACAGACGAAATGTCTGAGGGTCACAGACCTGGACCAGGATGTCCGAAGACCGATGTGTCATGAATAGGCCACAGGCCTGAGTGAAAACTCGAACAGACGAAATGTCTGAGGGTCACAGACCTGGACCAAGTCCGAATACTGTAGGTCCTGAAACGGCTACAGGTGTGAGCGAAAGCTCAAATAGAGGGCACCAATGGGCACTCTTAATTATATATATATATATCATCTCTAGACGTGATGAACCAAAATACCTGTAACATTAGTCAATTCGATGTCGAGGGAGACATTTGTTCAGTCGGCCTTCGTTGGGAGAAATGGAAAAGAGCGTTTTCTATTTACATCGAAGCTGCCGGTATTGGAAACCCCTCGAAGAAAAGCGAACCTTCTACATCAAGGTGGATTAGGATTGCAAGAAATATTTTATAACATACCAGGAGCCAATGTCAACCAGGAGGAAGGAGTGGATGTCTACGAAGTAGCCATCACAAAACTTGATAAATATTTCTCACCATAACATAGCGGAGTTTATGAACGACACGTTTTTCGTCTGATGAAGCAAGAAGAAGGAGAAGGAATCGAGAAATTTCTCTTGAGACTTAGAAATCAGGCAGGAAAATGTAAATTTTCCAATATAGAAGAAAATCGAATAGACCAAATAGTGAAAAAGGGTAACTCAATCAAATTACGGAAGAAAATATTAGCAGCTGTGGACTCGATAACTCTAGAAAGGGTGATCAACGAGGCTACATCTCTAGGGCTACATCTCTAGAAACAGTAAATAGAGAACTGGGAGGATTTCACGAAGTTCTTCAGGAAACGGCGACCAAGTAAATGCTTTGAATTCAAGGTTGAAGGTAAATCAAAACAAGCCTGTACTAGATGTGGTCGCAGTAATCATTTTTCTAACGACTCAAAATATCCAGCTAGTCGGCAGAATTGTAATAAATGCAACATACCTGGACATTTTGCAGCATATTGTAGAACACGCCAGCCAAAGTCAGAAGTTTCCAAAAGGAAAAATGAAGAATTATTGAGGAATTACTTTTCAAAAAATAAAAAACCAAGACAATCTGGAGTTCGTTTCATCACAGAAGATTCACACTCGGAAAATGAAATTGACCATGTTTTCCATATATACCAAGATGAAACAATAACTTGTTCATTAGGTGGGGTAAAGACAAAAATTTTGATAGACTCCGGGAGTAAAAGTAATCTTATAACGGATAAGACCTGGGAATACTTGAAAGAACATAATGTTCAAATCATTTATCAAGAAAAACATCCTAAAAAAATGCCTATGGAAGCAATAAACCTTTAACGGTATTAGGTTCTTTCGTATCCAAAATAGGAATAAATAACAAACATTTAGATGCCACATTTTATGTAATCAAAAATGATACAAATAATTAATAGGAAAAGACACCTCAAAAGATTTAGGAGTCTTGAAAATCAGGTTGGAGTCGGTGAACAACGTGTCCACCTTCCCTAAATTCAAAAACGTTCTCATTGATATTCCAATCGATGAAAACGTCAAGCCAATTCGTCAACCATATAGAAGAGTACCTACCCATCACCTTAGAAACGAAAGTCAACACCAAAATGAGAGAACTATTAGACTCCGACATAATTGAAGAGGTGGTCGGTCCATCCAAGTGGGTTTCTCCCCTCGTTCCAGTTTTAAAAGGAAACGGTGAGGTTAGGATATGCGTAGATATGAGAGAAGCTAATAAGGCAATCATCAACTATCCTCTCCCAACTATGAACGAACTCCTCCCAATATTCAGAAATTCTCAACTGTTTTCCAGATTAGACATAGAGAATGCTTTTCATCAATTAGAAATATCACCTGATTCACGTCATATCACAACTTTCATCAGTAGTAATGGTCTGTTTCGATATTAGAGACTGGTGTTTGGAATATCTTGTGCACCTGAAATATTCCTGAAAACATTAGAACGAATTCTTCTGAAGAGTGAAGGCACTGTTAATTCCATAGACGACATTCTTATATTTGGGAAAGATGAAACAGAACACAACTCTAGACTACGTTTCACATTGAGAACATTACGCAAAAATGATATTTTATTGAATGAGGCGAAATGCCTGTATGGAATGAAAAGTTTCCAATTCTTGGGTCATACCTTATCGATCAATGGAATCACACCTCTTGATAGCTATGTGGGGGTCATAAAAACGTTCAGATCACCAAAAACCGTAGACGAGATTCAAAGTTTCTTAGGCCCCATCAACTATGTGGGCAAGTGGATAACCAAACCTAGCGACATTAACAGAACCATTTCTACACATACTGAGACTGAAATTAGGAAAACATGCAAACATTGAAACTCATTGAAAAGACGAACAACGAAAGGCATTTGAACTAATCAAACAAATATCAACAAAAATCAAATCACTGGGATACTATAATCCAACTGACAGTGTATTCAGTTTGACGATAGGGGACCACGAATCATCGGATATAGAAATAAAAGTCTGACAAAATGCGAAAGAAGATACTGCCAGACAGAAAAGGAAGCGTTGGCTCTTGGCTGGGCGGTCGAACATTTCAAAGCGTATTTGTATGGCAAGGCGGAGTTCGAGTTAGTGACTGATCATAAGCCTCTCGAAGTCATTTTCGGATCAAGATCCAAACCCTATGTACGCATCGAAAGATGGGTCCTTAGACTCCAGTCCTACAGTTCCAGAATAGTTTATAGACCAGGTATATCGAATATAGCTGATTCGTTATCAAGGCTTTGCATCATAGTTCCATCTGAACCTTTCGACAAAGAAAGCGTTCACTAATTGATAGAATATTCACGACCTGTAGCAATTTCTTTGAACGATATCAAACATCATTCGGAAATAGATGAGGAATTCGCCAAAGTGAGAAGGGATTATTTGAAAACCACTGGGACCAGTCGACTAACGTTTATAAAATATTCCAATCAGAATTATGTTATCAAGACGGAATTCTTCTGAGAGGAAACAAATTCGTGATACCAACAAATCTGAGGAAAGATGTTTTATTGGCAGCACATGAAGGACATCCAGAAATTTCAGCAATGAAAGGCAGATTGCGAACAAAGGTTTGGTGGCCTAAGATCGATAGCGACGCAGAAAAACTAGTCAAGTCTTGAAGAGGATGTATCTTAGTATCGACACCATTACGACCTAACCCTATGAAGCGACGGGAATTACCATCCAAGCCATGGGTTGATATTGCTATCGATTATCTGGGCCCTCTTCCTGGTAAAGATTTTATATTAGTAGTGATTGATTATTATAGCCGCTATGAAAAGATCAAAATCACGAAGGACACAACTACTAGGAAAACAGTGGATTTACTCCAGGAGATCTTCTCTCGAATTGTCTATCCGTCATCGATAACAGCCGATAACGGTAAGCAGTTCGCAAGCCAAGAACAACATCAATTCTGCCATCAACGTGAAATAATCGTTTTCCGTAGCATACCATATTGGCCTCAACAAAATGGAGAGGTCGAAAGACAGAACCGAAACATTTTGAAACGAATCAAAATAAGCCACTCGCTGAAACAGGACTGGAAAAAGGAGCTCCTAGATTATCTAGTAATGTACAACAGCACCCCACACACGGTGACCGGTAAAACTCCGGGAGAACTTTTTACGGCCGACAGTTCAGAGATAAAATCCCAAGCC